TAAGCAGAATCAAACACCAGCCACCCAGGGGGTCCTCCTCAAGGTCACCAGCTTGACTCCAGCTTCCCAGGCACTGAGGCCCAGCTCTCAGAGCACAGACGATCAGGAACTGTGGCAGTCCTCCGTGGGGCTGCCGCCGGGAGCACAGCACCGCGAACACACACACTGTGCACGTGACTAGGGCAGAAGGGAGTCGCAAAGCCTCCTGGACAGTGTCTGGTTTCTAGGAGTTACATTAGTTATCAGTGGGAGAAGAGATTTTTGGCATGACGACAGATTACTCAAAATAGCAACAGGGTTTCTTTGGCAAAGTGTCAATGTCACGCTGTGGATAGGTGAACATCAGCAAGGCAAAGTCAGTGGAAACCTACAGAAGACACTCTGTGGGAGTGGAGGCCCCACCCAAGGCCCACAGATAGCCCTGCCCATGTGCACCAACACAGCTCCATGCCTGGTCTGGCCAGGAGAGCCAGTGGGGTGCCCGGCCCACAGGGCTGCACAGGGACTCGTGTGCCAGCAGCCACAGGGTTGGGCTCCTTATAAGTCCACACCTGACTCTGGCAGGGGAGACCAGTAAGGTGGCACAAAGGTCTCCTTCCCTCCTGCCCTGGGCCAAGAGCCAGGTGAGTGAAGCTCAGCAGGTAGGAGCCACATGAAAGCGGCTCAGCTTTCGGTTCTGCAGAGAGGTGCATTTGTCTTCTGAGTCTCAGATAAAAAAAAAAAAAAAAAAAATTGGACAGAAGAAAAAGCACTCAATGGAGATTCCTAGCAAGGAAACAACCCTTCAAGGGTGTGTGTTTTCTAAAAAGATCAGCATAAATGGGAGAGAGGAAGGCTAACAGAAATAGATCGCATCACAGTTCTGGAAGGCAGAAATGAAAATCGAGGTGTCAGCAGGGCTGCATCCCTTTCCAAGGCCCTCTTTGCCTCTCACTGCTTCTGGTGGCTGCAGGAGCCCTTGGCTGTGGCTGCATCACTTGTCATCTGGCCTTCTTCTCTGTGTCTTCTGTCTCTATAAAGACACTTGTCACTGGATTCAGGGCCCAGCCAGGTGCTCTAGGAGGATCTCATCTTGAGGTCTTTATCTGCAGCTGTATAAGCCCTTTCTCCAAACAAGACAACCTTCACTGGCCACAGGTGTTAGACTGGAGGTCTCTCTGGAGGGGTCTGGAATCCAGCCTCCCTGAGAGGACCGCCCGCTGCAGCGTATCAGGTGCCCTCTCGATACAGCTGGCATGATGTGTGTTTTTCCCTGCACCAAGCCAAGCAGCGCTGAAATCAAGGAGGCAGCACACTTCTCCTCGGAACTCAGGAACATTAGCTTCAGGCTCACACCCCAAATCGCACAAGGTGGTGCTGCCCTGTTCTTCAAAGCAGAACCCTACTTAACCTCTCTGTGCCCCTGTTTCCTTGTCTGCAAATTAGAAAGTGGTAAGAGTACCCGCCCTAGAAGAGATTGCATGGGTTAATACATGTACCCTGCTGAGAAGAATACCAGGCACATGCTAAGCACTTGATAACGTTAGCTGTTATTATCCTGAATCTCTTCCACTCTCCTTTATTATCTCCCCTCTCCTTATCCCTCTGGATGTACCCCTGATAACTGGGCAGACAAAGGAGAAACTCAATTTCTTGTCTGTTTCCTTGGAAAAGGCTAATTACTTACCTAGATCTAAAACACTACAAGACATAACAAGCCTAGAAAAATATATATTGCTTGCCATAGAACCTTAAGATATGCAACAGGTTGCAAGAAATAAGCATATAGTTTACTTAAGGTATCTCTACTTGTTTCATACCCCTCGTTATTTCAGAAAAGATTCAGATACATTCAAATACAGGAACATTAAATTCAAAATAAGTGGATGAAGGAAAAAAAAAAAAAACCGAGAGATCTGCAGAGATCAAATGAGGCCAAGAGTGATATCAGTGAAGAAAAAACACGCTGCAATATCCTGTTCGCTAGCCAGAAGCAGGCTGCACTCTGCAACCCAGCGCTAAGCTCTTGCACCTGGGACACAGAGCGCGCCTGACCAGCTCAATTATTCATCGTGGCTTCGAGATTAAAAAGCAAAAGGGGAGGGAGATTCGGGCAGAGGAAAACGGCATTCGCTCAGAAGCGTTGCAACGCTTCCTGGGAGCGGGCGGGCTCCCTGGGGTCTCCTTAGAGAAGGCGTGGCATGCTGTCTCTAGTTGCTTTTCTAGATTATAACTATCTATTTTAGATTTTTTAAAATTTTTGCATGTATTATCTCTGATCCACCCCCTGGAAGTTATGAGGTTAACACACTAAGGAGATGTGTGTCTGTGTATATAGTAGGGTTTTAAATGACAAATCACTTGTTTTACAGGACAGCTGGCTCAGATTTTCATGATAACGTGAAGACATTTTGAAAAAAAAAAAAAAGGTTTTCTACGCATAGGGAATACTGAAAGGAAAATCTGTATGCTCCATCTGGACGTGGTGTGAGTGTGTCCCCCGGGGGTTCAGAGTTGGTACTGGGAGGCAGTGTAGACCGCTGGAACTTGGGGCCCATGGGGAGGGCCCAGGGCAACTGAGGGTGCTGGCCCCCAGAAGGGAGTGCTGAGTCCTCAGTGAGTTGTCCAGCAAACCTGAACCCAGCATTGCTTTCTGGCTCCCCACCTGGGGGTGCGACCGCCCCTTCACACTTGCACTGCCACCGTGCCATCCGCCGCCAGGAGGCCCTCACCAGAGGCAGAAACACTGGCGGGGGGGGGCGGGGGGCAAGCTTGGCCTCTCCGCCTACATATAGATGCCTGCCTCAGGTATCTCATTACAGCAATGCAAAATGTGCTAATACAGAAAGCAGGTCGCGAGGAGTGAGGCTGTGACTGCGACTGACCCCGAACGTGGAGCAGTTTTGGGAGTGGGCTGCAGGTGGGAGGGTCTGAGGGAGCAGGCTGCGGGTGGGAGGGTCTGAGGGAGCAGGCTGGGAAGGGCCTGGAATGCCGCACTGTAATTGCCACAGGTAACGCTGATGAGGGCTGAGAACACGAGCCTAGGAAACGAGTCCCGGAGGGAAATGAGGATTCTGTTGAAAACTGTTGAGTCCTCCCTTGGCACGCTGCGGTGAAGAATTTGCCTGTGTTTGGTCCATGCCCCAAGATTTTACGGAAGGCCAAAATGAGAAACAGTGGTCTAGTTTACTTGGCAAAGAAATTTCCAAACAAGAAAGCATTCAGGCTGTGCTATGAGTATTACTGGCTGCTATGTTACAGTGAGACTAAAATAAAAAGCAGCTGACTGGACAAAGGAAGCAGAAGGGCAGGCGTTTGCCTCGTGGTTAGGACGCCCCCCACCCCCCGCCCCGCCCCACCCCGGGTTCAATTTCTGGCTCTGCTAGTGGAGACCCAGGAGGCAGCAGCAACTGCTCAAGTAACTGAGCTCCTAACACCCACGTGGGAGACCTGGATTGAGTTACAGCCCCTGGCTTCGGCCTGGCCCAGCCCTGGCTGTTACAGGCATTTGAGGACTTAGCCAGCAGATGAGAAGCTCTTTCTCTGTCTCTCTGCCTATCACATAAATAAGTAATTTTTTAAGAAATCAAAGGAGAACAAAAAAATTGGGGACATTTGCAACCTGACTGGAGAAGTGATGAAAGGTGACGGGGAGGCGAGGGCACTGAGATCAGTAGGAACACACAGGAGCCACAATCAGCAGGAATAAAAAGCAGCAGGATCAACTGGCATCTCAGAAACCCTTGTGGCCTTTTCTCTCCCTCCTCGTGCTCACAGGCCTTCCAGGAACTGTTGCCAGGACCCAGTGCTTTCTACCTCAGCTACCGCCGAGGTTCCAGCAGTCCCAGGTGCAGCTTATGCCAGTGGCCAACCTTGGTGTGCACATGCAGCTGGTTTTGCAGGTACACAGAATTCAATCATGGTGGTTGCCACCAAGATTTCAAAGGAACGCCCAGGAGGCCAGGCAGAAGTTTGTCACAGCGTCAGAGGCACTGGTAGAGCCATGGCTGTTGCAGCCATGGGAGTGGAATCATGGCAGGGATCCGAGAGAGGGAAAGAAAAGAGCAACATTCAATGCCCATCACTGAAAAGTGCCTGAGAGAGGAAGCATGCGGTCAGCAGCCAGCAAAGCTGCAGGGGTTGGAAAGGGGTCCACCCTCACCACAATGTGCACAAGATGCTGGACTTCAGCTCAAAGACTTTGCCTTGAGTCCTGGGAGACCTTGGACTTGGACTTCTGAGTGCTGCTGGAAGTTAAGACTGTTTGAACGCTGCGGGATGGGGTGGGATGCTGTGTCTGGATATAGTTTGAGTATGTCCCCCAAGTGTCACGTGCTGGAGGCCTGGTTGGCAGTGTGGCAATGTGGGGGCCCTCTTTGGGCTGGGACCTGGTGGGAGGTCTAGGTCAGGGTTGGGGCCCCTGGCCTCTCTCATCTTCTTGCCTGGTGATGTGATCTCTCACCCTTACGTTCAGCTCTGCCACGATCCCATCGGCTGTCAGGCCCTCTCCAGGGCCAGAACCAAAGGAGCCACCTGATGGCGGACTTTCAGCCTTCAAAACTGTGAGCTAAATAAACATCTCTTCTTAATGTTAGCCTGCCTCATGTGTTTCATTACAGTAATGAAAAACAGACTCATTCAATTCCCAAAATAAAGCCCTGGAGCTTCCAGGTCTTTTTATCCTAGAAAGCTGGGATAAGCAAAAAAAAAAAAAAAAAAAGGAGGAAGTGAGTGTAAGTCATTAAATAAAGAGAAAGCTTCCCAGCAACAATCATCCAAAATCCCAAAGCCAAGCCAAAACACGCAACTCAGGATGGAGTGCTGATGAAAGTCATTTTGATATGGTCACCTGATGCTTTATCAACATTTCTGGTTGGTTCATTTTTAAAATGGGTGAATATAAAATTTTGAACACAGAGAAAAACTTTACTTTCAGTGGCCATGCATTTAGCAGGAACCCTTTCTCTTTCCCTCTCACACGCACATGGACATGCACATGCACACGTACCCAATGCACCTACCTTGTTAAGCCACTTTAGCCCTGGTATCGTGTTTGAATTGATCTGTTCCTCCAGCCATGGGCGCATTCGCATTCTCTCCACCGGCATCGTACCTTTTACAGAAGAGAAACACAACATCAGCATTTCTTCTACTGACGCTCACGGCGGCACGACCAAGTCCCAGTCTCCCGCCTGACATTTTTCTGTTTTCCCCTTCCTTGAGATTGCAGGTGTGGGGGATGTATTCAGGGGCTCAGCCTTGGAGCCATCTGCCCTGCTTACCCATCCCACTGCTTCCTGAGTTGCCTTGGTGAGCAGAGGGACTGGACCAGGCCTGCCATTCTCTGCACCAGCACTCAACCCAGAGGGTCCTGTGGGTGCAGGAGGTAGACTGGCAGACACCCAGCTTGCCAGTGGGCCGACGCCTCCAGTGACTGCCTCAGCCAGGCCTTACCCGCCTACTGGGCTGCGTTCACAGAAGAAACCTTCAACACATCAGGATTCCGAGCACCTTCAGGGATTATCTTCCCCAGAGCCCGGGGAGGGGGTGGGCGGAGGCCAGAGCAGAGAGGTCACTGTGGGACTGGGTTACAGTAACCAACCCATCCACACCCTTTTAGGTATGAACTCAATTCATTTCAGCTGGCTGTCAGGGTCACACACATGCTCTGAACCTCCTCTGGCACACAGAGCTCTAAAGTAACCAATTACTGTTGTTCCCCAAAGGTCTTACCAATAAGCCGTTCCCTTCCGATGTCATCTATAATCAAGGATCCCCAACGCCTTGCCCTTTCTTCACCTTTGTTTTTGTCTTTACTCTAGCACAGTCTCTTATTCCCTTCAGCCTCTTCAATATCACCCTCCCCCACTGACCTGTTGGCATCTCTTTCACCTTTAACCTACTATCTCTTTGAAAATCATGTCATGGTCTGAACACCTTTCCTCTATCAGCCTACGCAATGCCAGTCTCTCCACTCCTCCCAGATGCCTTTCTAAGACAGTCTTCCACTTACCTAGCAAAATATATCCAGAAAAGAATTATGAATAAAGTCCCTTCCAAACTGGCTACCATTCACCCCCACCTAACTTATGCCTAACTGACAATGAACCTGGGATCCGGAAGCAGAGCCTCATTCGTAAGACTCTGTGGACAGCGCTGACATTGTAACCCTCAGAGGTCTCTAACTCATTTCCTGCAAACAGGCTCTGAACCGTCTAGTCAGATGACTGTGGGCTGAGACCATCAGTGTCTCAGAGGGTCTCTCTTCCGGCCTGCCAACGACTTCTTCTCCCTCTGTGCCCGCCCCCAGCTAACACCAGAGTCCACACGTCACTGAGTGAACCACCAGGGGCCTCACCTTTGCTCTTTTCCTTTTCTACCTCTCGTGCACTCTTGGCTGAAGACAACAAACCCTCCTGCCCCTTATGCATTGCATGCCCTCTGCTCCGCTCTCCCTGGCCTTGCCCAGTCTCACCTCTCCTCTGAGATCCAGCCTCCACACCTGGTCTCCTATCCAGTCTGAAGTCATCCCTGCTTGTCCAAATCCTGCCATATGCCATGGTCTTCACACTGCGCCTCTGCACATCAGACACTGCTTCAGGACAGCTACTGTCTACTTTCCAGCTGTGTACACTCTCTCTTCCCAACCCAACGGCGTGTTTTTCAGAGTAGGAACTTGCCTGTTCACAGGCCTTTCCACAATCCAAGGAAGACTAAATGCTCCCTTCCACACAGGAGCTGTTCAACACAAGGACCTGGCCAGCCCCGGGATCAGCCCAGGTGGGGCTGTCTTTGGAGGCTGGCCCCATCCTCTCGTGGGGAGGCTCCAGAGCACGGTTCTTTGAGACAGCTACAGGACCCTGAGAGACATTCCAAAGGCACGAGGAATCTCCACAAGGAGCCCCCACTGCAGCTGCCTCTTCTAGTCACTGTTATCCAACTATTCAACCATCATGGAGTGCGGTTCCAGGAGTTGGAAAAGATAGACACTCCCAGTCTAATAGGATACAGGAGAGAAGGAAAGTATCATACTGGGAAGAGTCCCACGTTCAACGTGGTAAGAAGTTGCAGAAGGGGTCTGGGACCGCTGGGAAAATCTGTACACAGATCGCACGAGTGACCCCTGCAGGGCAGAGCCCACCCAGGGTGGTCGCCACCGACCTGCTCAGATCCTCCCTCGGGGCAAGACCTCAAAGCACAGAGCGGGGACAGCTCGATCTGGAGCAGCAAGGACCGGAGAGGGCAGAGGCCGGGGCAGAGCAGTCATGAGGACATGGCCTCTTCCGAGGGGACAGCGTGACACGCAGAACTGCTGTGAGTCACTGGGGCTGCTGCTGTGCCTAAACTTAGTAACACAGAAACATGAGAGGCGTGTGTATGAGGCTGCTTCCAGCCCCGAATGATATAACACGGTATTTCCTCCCATACCCTTCTTGGGGGAGAGAACGATCACCTGAAATACTTCAAAGAGCTCTCTGACTATAAAGCTGCAGCCCGTGTGGAGGGAAACTTGTACAACCGATCTGCATTGTTCACAGATTCTGCATTTGATATCTGACTTTTTTTTTTTTTTACAAAGAAAAAAAAGTGATTTGCATTTACTTATTTGAAAGGCAGAGTTGCAGGGTGAGTGGAGTGGGAAGAGAGAGAGAGGAGATCTTCCATAGAGAGAGAGATCTTCCATCCACGAGTTCACTCCCCAAATGGTCCCAACAGCCGGAGCTGGTCCAGGCTGAAGTTAGGAGCCAGGAGCTCCTTCTGGGTCTCCTACGTGGGTGCAGGGGCCCAAGGACTTGGGATCTTCCACTGCTTTGCCAGGTGCACTAGCAGGGAGCTGGATGGGAAGAGGAGCAGCAGGGTCTCAAACCGTGCTCATACAGGATGCCTGTGTCACAGGAGGTGGCTTAACCTGCTGTGCCACACCAGCCCTGATGAATTAGGATTCTTCATAAAGCGTATTTGTATCTCCCAGATCAATAATCCTGGTACCTTCACAGTCACCACAGAAATGCGAAGGGAGGCAAAAACTTCAAGTCGTCTGACACGCGTGTCCCCAGCTGAGGTCAAATGAGGTGACAGGCTACCTTGCTGCTTCTGTTCTCTTACTGCAAACAAGTATCCTTTTCACGGTCTATTTAGTGAGCTATCTCCCACACTTCAGTGTTTTTTGTTGGTGATTTTGTTTTTCAAACGGTCCCCAGGATGGTGCTGCAGTGCTGTCCCGTGGCTCCCTAAGCGCAGGAAGGACGCGCTGTGCCTCAGGGAGAAAGTACGTGTAATTGGACCAGCTCTGCTCAGGTGTGGGCTGCAGAGCTACTGGCTGTGAGTTCACTGTGAGTCGGTCAAGATACGTGCTGAACAAGGTGCCTTGAAACAGAAAGGACACGGACCGTGGCTACACCACTGGTCCTTTCTATCTGCTGCTTCTGCATCCATGGAGTCAACCAAACGCAATTTGAAAGTATTTGAGAGGGGCTGGCACTGTGGCGCAGTGGTAGTTAACGCCCTGGCCTGAAGCACCGGCAAGACCCGGCTGCTCCTGATCCAGTTCTCTGCTATGGCCGGGACAGCAGTAGAAGATGGCCCAAGTGCTTGGGTCCCTGCACCCGTGTGGGAGACCTGGAAGAAGCTCCTGGCTTCAGATCGGTGCAGCTCCGGCCATTGCAGCCATCTGGGGAGTGAACCATCGGCTGGAAGACCTTTCTCTCTGCCTCTCCTCTCTCTATGTAACTCTGACTTTCAAGTAAATAAATAAATCCTAAAAATATATAAAAGGAAGTATTTGAGAAAAAAAAATTCCAGGAAGTTCCAGAAAGCAAAACTTCAATTTGTCACATATAAGGAACACACATTACAGGTCCTCCTGCCACCTCACAGGTCCTGGACTCTCTCCAGTGTCCATATGAGCATTGTTTGTCTCTCATCTCATTTATCTACTATAGTTGCATTGGAACTGAACATGAACGGACATTTTTTTTTTTTTGGTCATTAATCCCAAACAATAAAAAAAGTATAACAACCATTCATGTATCGTTTACTTTGCATTAGGTACCACAGGTAATCAATCTAGCAATGATTTAAAGTAGACATAGTAGCATTCATAGTCTATATGTGAATGCTACCCCATTTAATGCAGGGCTCTTGAGCACCTGTGGATCTTACTACTTGGGGGAGGGTTCCTGGTACCAATGCCCCTCAGATCCCAGAATTGCTTGTATATTGACTGGTGGTTGAGAACGTTGTGACCAGAGGTCATAGGAATCAGAAGAGGGAGAGGTGGACAGTCACACAAAGACACAGAGGGAAGGCGGCCGCGTGAAGGCAAAGGCAAGACTGGCACAGTAACTGCCACAAGTCCAGGAATCCTTGGAGCTACTGAAGCTGGAAGAGGCGAGGAAGGATCCTCCTGTATAGTCTTAAGGGGGCAGATGGCCCTCTGCTGCACTGATTTTAGACTTCTACACTAACAGAATCGCTGTTGTGTGAAGCCACACAGTTTGTGGTACTTGGTAATGCAAGCCTAGAAAACTAATTCAGAAGGGAGACACTGCAAAGGCCCTGAGGCATGAGGACCAAGTGCTGAAAGGCAGCCAGAAGCAAGGAGGAGGCTGGGGACCAGGCTGACTCTGCAGGGCCTGGAACACTGAGCCCAGGAGCCTGGTCAACATCCCAAGACTGAAGAGAAAGCGGAAGGATTTCAGCAGACTGGATAGGGCCAGTTTCATCCACAATGAACATGAAGGCTGATGATGAAATCAAGATCAACACTTCATCAACTCCAGTGCACCTATGCATCTCAATTCAGTAGTTCTAGCTGACACCAGGATTCTGTGTTTCCTAACAGACTACTAACCCAGGGAGTCGAGGCTCTGGGTTCCTTTGGATTTTAACCATGCACTGCCTGGATCTTCTGTGACTTCATGGGGAGTCTGGTTATTCTGACCAGCAGGCTTCCGTTAATATTAAACGTCAGATTTTATCTCATCATCCCTCTATCGTTCCAGCCCTTATTTACATACCAGGCCTTTCATTGGATGGAGTTCAGCCAAACCTCAAGATGTATCTTTCCCTTGGCCAAAACACCAGGGTACCATCCAGGGCTTGGAAATGGTT